GTTATAAAATTCAACCTAAATTCAGAGTCTGATTTTAGGTCGAATTTTAAAATTAACTATTCAACCTAAAATCAGATACTGATTTTAAGCTGATTGATAGTTTTTAGATTGATTATAGGTTGTTTATAGGTCAAATTTTTTGGCCGATTCGACCTGAATTCGACCAAAAATTTGAAATTCAACCTCCAATTAGAGGTTGAATTTTACCTTTTCAACTAGTGAACAAATATCTAATTCAGATAAATCTGTAAAATAAGTATATGACTACTCTAGTAGAAATTATTTCTGAGGTTAACTAGAGCTATGCATACTTACAATATATTAGGTAATATGTATCCTAAGAGGACCTAAGCTGTATGATAAATAGATCTATATATAAGTTAGCTAGCTTAAATGATTAGATATAGTAATGATGTTAGTTTGAGATAGAACAAAGAGTTAATGATCAGAGTATTTAAATAGGTAACTTACAGACAGGTTACAGTTATAGCAGCATAATATAGAATTAACAGATAGTCTAGTATCTGTATGATGGACTACTTAAATTAGATAATAACTAAAATTATATATATAGCTTGTTATATACTTATTATATAACTGTAAAACCTTAAAAAACTATTCATGTGATAGTTCTGTAATAACAAACCAATAAAATTTAATCAGTCAAGGAAGTAGTCTTAATAATTAAAAAAAACAAAAGATATATACTATTTAAAAAATTCTAAGCTATATAAAAGCTACAAATATATAGTCTGTTTTAAAGTAAATAAAATCTTATACTATATAGCAAAATATAAAATCTATTAGAAAATTTGAACAAATATAGAGAAGAAAATATTGTACTTAACTAGACTCAAGATATTATCAAAACTTGATATCTCACTTAGTTCAAATACTTTTAGAAATATAGTATATAGTATAGATTCTAAACTAAAAATTCATAATAAGAAACTATATCTTAGAGGATTTATATATACTAAGCAATTGGCTAATATAAGTAGAATAGTAGAATTTAAGAAAAAAAAAATAAGTTTCTAATTAGCTTAACAGATTTTTTTAAAAATGTTTTTATGAATAATTATAAAAGTTTTACTATAAAATAATAGCAGATTAAAAAAAAAAAATAATATATTAGTAAAAAAAAAAATAAACAAACAAAAGAAATGATACAATTTGAATAAAGAGAATATAAGACCTGAAGTTACAGAGAAAGAAACTAAAGCAATAAAAGATACAAGAGTTCAAAAAGAAACTTCAAATAGAGTTAACAAATAAATAAAAACTAAAAGAAAAGAAAAGTAAAGATATATTAAAACAAAATAGACAATCTTGATATAAGCTAATAGTAATCTTTTAGTAATCAGAAACTAAAATTTTGTATATTTACAAATCAAAGTTTTTTTGAGAGAAATGGCTATTACAGCAGATTGCACTTGAATATCCAAAAATAGCCAAATAAGTCTGAATTAGTTAATAAAAGAGCATTTAGTTATAGTTTTTTATAATTTTTATATTTTGTAATTTGTATTAGTTTTTTCTTTAAAATAAAATAATAGACAAGATTATCTAAATATAAAAAAAAAAATATTTATTAAATTATATTAATATTTATAAAAACTTTCTAAAAATCTAGACAAATTTGTCTAAAAACAGTTTAAAAAATAGTATTTTTTGTTATATCTTTTATCTAATATAAAAAAATTCTTATTTATTATTAAGTCATTTATTAGACAAATATAAAAACTTTTATATAACAAATAATTAGTAATAAAAAAAATTAGGTTATCAATAGAAATCAAGCAAATTAACATTTTTTTAAAAAAATAATACTCTAACTTTAAAAGTTTATATTTCTATAAATTATTAATAATTTAAAAGTAAAAATGAAGCTTAAGTTTTAAACTTTATTTTTACTTTTGAATCATTAAATACTTGAAAATTCATCGAAATATAAGCTTTTAAAGTTAGAGTATTATTTTTTAATCTGCCTAATTTCTATTGACGGCAGCCCAATTATTACTTATTAAGCTTGCTATCTTCAGCGTCAGATAGCGAAACAAACATACTGTATCAGGTGATGCATCGAGTCGTAAAAACACAAAGTCCTCCGCATCGCTCCGGACAAATAAAAATGCATATAAATACACATAAATGTAATGAAAGAATCCTGTGACGGTAAAGTCACAACACAAACAATATTCGAATTTTATTAACAAACTATTCTACGAAACCTTCTATAACATCCGACGGTCAAATATAATTTGAATTTTAACTAGAGTTTGGAACCGCGTTTATTTTTCATATAATAAATATAATTGAACCCGGATTTAACATATAAAAATAAATTCGGTTCCAAACTTTATTCCATCATAATACCGAATTTGGTAAGTTATAATGATAAATATATACACATGCTTCAGAATTTTCAGATTACTTTATAAAAAAAAAAAAAAATAACGGAATGCGATTGAATCAAATTAAAAAGATAATGTAAATTAAAATATCGGGAACCGGTTGGATTTATACGATGTATGTTTCTATTGCGCAGCTGCTCTTCTTTGAGCCGCTCTCTTCTCAGTTTGCGCCTTGAAACCTGTTATTATTCATAAAATGGTTACACCATTGTAACGAAAATATAAAAAAAATCTTAGCTAAAAATGTTAAATTACCAGTCTTTATTGCAGATACTGATCTTGTGGATCCGCAACTTTCACATTGTTGGAAAAATATACGATTTTCTTTGGTCAGGATCGTGTCTGGTGACTTGCAAGTTTTGCATGTAACATATTCAACTACATGAAATTCACTATTAGTACAGAAAGACATAATTTAATAATTGGTAAGTCTTATCTCTTACCTATATACCGACGCAAGACGTTCTCTATCTGTTTTTGTACAAAACGACCTCTAATAACTAATCTTTGTGAACCATCAATCGAACCACTTGTACCCAATTCGGCAAATAAGAATTGAATAACATGCTCTGGTTGTCTATGCATCCTGTAGTCATGAGATGTAAAATTATATATCAATATAATTGTATAACACAATTTCATCGACTTGCAACTTTTTTTCCCTACCTCTTGCAAATATCCGAAACATTCGCAAAAATCGTTTTTTTGTTTCCTTCTCGATGAACTGATGGTGGAACAATTGTATATCTTTTCTTATCACCCGCAAGTTCAGGGTTATTTTGCCGAAGAATTCGAAATACTCGTCCCAAAAGCTAGAACGTAATTACAACTTGATTAATTTCCTTAATTCAATGTGGAAAAGAAATACTTTTTGTACGTACTTCCTGATACGTGTAATCCCGATCAGATTTTATCCAGGTTTCCTCGACTTTTATATCTTTTTCAACTTGTTCGCCTTCTGGAACAAATAAGTTATCGTCTTCAGCACGAGGTTCCTCATCATCCACATCCTTCAATTGTTTTTCAAAATCAGCAAAATCA